AAGAGCAGCCTGTCCCACCCACGTCACACACCCAGGAAGGAGCCCGCGGGCCGCTGGCTGGAGCCGGGAGCCAGGGGAGCGCGAGGAAGGGCCTCTAGGGGTCACAGAATGGAGGACCCCGATGCGGGTAAAGACCACGATGGGGTGCAGTCCAGGGGGAGAGGCGAGGTCTCCCGCTCACTCCCCTACGAAAGGGCGTCAGCCGGCCTGGCTGCTGGGCCCGCTGAGCTGGTGCGAAGGCCGGGCCAGGCCCAGGGATCTGACTGCACGCAAGCCGCTGGCTCTACGGACGATCTGAGGGTGCGTGCTCCCCTCGTGGCACGCGGAAGTGGGCGGGAGGAATGAGTGTCGCTATGGGCTTGGGGAGGAAACACAGGTGCACACCAGCAGGCTGCAGCCCTAGCGGGACACGGTCTCCCAGCTCCTGCTCTGCAGGGCCCGGCCTCTCTGGGCCTCTCATGGCGGCTGCTGTCGGTCTGCCCGGCAGGCACTGGGGCTGCTGCCTGTCTCCGTCGGGGCCTCGCCGTGGGTCTGCCAGATGGAGAGGACGCAGGCAGCCCTGGGGGGTGGCTCAGTTGCCTGAGTGTGGTCCATGCACCACAAGGTCGCCAGTTCGATCCCTGCTCAGGGCACCTGCCTGGGTTGTGGCCCGATCCCCAGTAGGCGGCGTGCAGGAGGCAGCTGGTCGACGTTTCTCTCTCACATCAGTGTTCCTCTCTCTCCCCCCCGCCCTTCTCTAAAATCAATAAAAACGTTTAAAAAAAGAAGCAGCAGCAGACAGGCGGAGGAGTGGCCTCATCACAGATGTTTACAGGGTCTCGGATGTTTGGAGAACAGCCCTGTGGCCGGGACACGCAGGGCCATGTCCACACCTGCAGGTCCTGGCCGAGGGCCTGGGGAATGTCAGCCGAGGACGAGGGCAAACCTGGGACACGGAGGTGCTGGGGGCGGGACGGCCACCGGCCAGGGAGTGCCCCCCGCCAGGCAGAATCCACAGGGCCCCTGGGAAAGCCCCGCGCCCCCCACCTGTTCCCTCGGGGCTCTGGGCAGCAGGTGGCGGCTCCTCAGTGAGGGAGGGTCCTGCACACGACCCAGCCCTGGCCCCGAGCCGAGGGGGAGGGAGAAGGTTCAAAGCTCTCACTGGACAGAAAGCCGCCCCCGGGAGCAGGGCCCATGCAAACCAGGGACCCGAGTGGGTGTGGGCCGGTAGAAGGCAGCTGCGAAGGCGCCCAGGGCTGCCTCCCTCTCGACACCCCTGCCCTCAGATGAGCTTCTCTGTGGACGGGACTGACCGACCCGCCTCTAAGGAGCAGAATGAAGCAAAAACGATGGGCTGTCACTTCCACGTCACAGACGAGCCGCGTCCGCCCTGGCGCCCTCTCTGGCTCACGGGCTCAGAGAGCAGGCAGCCCCCATGCTGTGAGGCACCCCAAAGGCCAGCGCCGGCCCGAGGGAGGCCTTGGCCAACGGCCAGCGCGGAGCTACGCTCAGGCAACGAACAGCAGGAAACGGAACCGGGCGAACGGACACGCGTGAGTTCGTCAGCAGATTGTTCCTGGCCGGGCCTGC